AGAGTCTTCATGAAAACAGGAGTCACAGAGACAATGTTTTTAACTCTCACACATCAGAGATTAACCCTGATACTCATACAAGTGAAAATTCTTTCGAATGTGACACTTGTGGAAACACATTTGGGAACAGTAATAAATTGAAGATTCATCGGAGAACACACACAGGTGAGAAACCTTATTTATGCAAAATATGCAGGAAAAGGTTTGGACGTAGTGGTCATTTGAAAGACCACATGAGAATTCACACAGGTGAGAAGCCTTATTGTTGCCAAACATGTGGGAAAGGTTTTGTAAGTAATGGCAGTTTAAAATTCCACATGAGCAGTCACACAGGTGAGAAGCCGTATTGTTGCCAAACATGTACAAAATGTTTTGCAAGTAGTGGTCATTTGAAAGTCCACATGAGAATTCACACTGGTGAGAAGCCATTTTCTTGCCAAATATGTCAGAAAGGTTTCTCACGGGGTAGTTGTTTGAAAGTCCACATGAGAATTCACACTGGTGAGAAGCCGTATTCTTGCAAAATATGTGGGAAAGGTTTTGGACGTAGTGGTAACTTGAAAGCCCACTTGAGGAGTCACACAGGTGAGAAGCCGTATTGTTGCAAAATATGTGGGCAAAATTTTAGACATAGCAATCATTTGAATGTCCACATGAGGAGTCACACAGTTGAGAAGCCATATTCCTGCCAAACGTGTAAGAAAGGTTTGGTACATAGTGGTAATTAGTCCACACAAGGAGTCACGCAGTTGAGAGGCCGTATTCTTGCAAAATATGTGGGAAAAGTTTTGGACGTGGTGGTAACTTGAACGCCCACATGAGAACTCACACAGGTGAGAAGCCTGCAACACGTAATAAAAGCTTCTCTTAGTTTACACACATGAAAATGCATTTAAAGATTCTTACAGGTAAAAATTTGTGTTTACAAAACGAGTGGGAGAGCTTTCAGGGTTAGTGGTGATTGACAACACACATGAGAAGAGCTCACACCTTTGAGAATTCATCACTGCAACTCTGGAGTA